TTAAATGTATTTAAAATAATAAAAAACAAATATTTTCGAGTATTTTTATTAATTAGCAGAATAACTATTTATAAAAATGAGTTTGAGTAATATCTGTTGCTTTGCATTTTCATGTTTCATTTGAAATCTCAATTAGTTATTAATTATTATTATTTATTGATGGCATTCAATTTTATAAAGTGTATTGTTATAAAGGGTAGTGAACTCTATATACTCGGTGTTTTAAATTTAAGGAAATATGACGTTGATAAGTCGTAGAACAATTTTGATCCTTTTGAGTATAGACTGTAATACGGAGCAAACAGGGGCTGTAGTTAGTCAGAAGGGTTGTATCTATGTGTGCATGAGGTAGAAAGAGAAAGAAGAGTCAGATCGAAATCAATAGGAGAGAATGTGGAGCACGGCGGATTTGTATAAAAGCTGGCTTTGATAAATTTGTCCCTTTTAAAAGAGAGGAGTCTGATGGTGGAGGAGGAGTAGTGAGGTACATTACACGGGGATAAAGTGCGACGCAAAGGGGATTTCTCACATTTGCTTTTTGGCGAGATCATAATACTTCACGTTGTAGCTGTCAACTGGAGTAAGTAAAATATTAAATGAACGAATAAAAAGCAGCAGAAGCAGTAGAGTTGGACGATGATGAAGATGAGAAGGACAATGAGAGGAAGAGAAAGATGGTGAGGAGGAGATGAAGAAGAAGAGCAGAAGCAGAAGATGCGAAGAGACCCGGCAAAAACAGGAACGGCCGCGTTTTAGCCCACAGCCGCTTTATAAATTACCCACTTAGTAACTACCGACGACTATTTCTTTCCCATTACACACAGCTACTTTAACTTTCATACTTTTTCCGCTTGCCTCTTGTTTGCTTTGCTTTTCTTCTCCTTTTTTTATTCATTCAGTCGCGTCTCGTTCTTTTCCAAAAAAAAACTTTGTTTCATTCACTCCTCTCTTTCGCTCCTTTTTGCACCATGCGGGAAACATTATTATCTACGTTTCTCGCCGCTTTTTCCTTTGAACCGCAGAGATTATCCTTTTGTCTTCGACTTTTGAACGCATTCTTTACCTAAGTACTTACCTTTATTATTGGATCTCTGCAAAACTAGAGCTTCATTCAAGGTATATTTGGAAACTCAAAATGAGCTTATGCATAGAATATAAAATCCGTAATACATTTTCATCGTGCATTGTTAAAATATTACAATTTTTGTAATAAATGTTGAAAATTTTAATATTTAATTATTTTAAATAAATCATACTACAATAAGTGTTCATAGCAATCAATCACGAAAATAATAAATAAAATAAGTTAATTATTTTAATCAATGAATAGTATTGGAATGCACTTCATCTCTAAAATTTGATTATTTTTTTAACTTATTTAGGAAAATTACAAATTAATATGTTTATTTAGTTAATCAAGCTAATAGTATTTGTTGAATGAATGCAGTGTAACGTAAATATATTTTGATGATTCTGTTTGTACGAAACTGTGGTAATTAGTCTTACTGTTGATAGTTTCATATATGCATTCCACATTACCTAACCTTTAATGTTATTATTATGACGTATAAATATACTTCGGCTATTTCTCTCGTCAGCGCCGAAATCAGTCGGAAAGTGAATACGATGGGAAATTGATGTGAGCGAGTGTTGTGGGTATGGGAAGAACGTCGACCAACGCAAATGCAAACATGTTTGTATCTGCATTAACGAACGTAAATAATTAATGCACGCGTTTACATGTTTATGTAAACTGTTCTCGCCTGTTGTATTTGTATGTGCTACGACTAATATTATATAAATACATATATGCACATTTTACATACACACACAAAATATGCGTGATGTTTGTATGTAAACGAGACTCGTGCGTTATTCCGCGGTTTTATGAAAATTCGCGAATTACATTTTAATGTTCTTTATTGACGTTGCAAATCAGATTACAAAATTCGGTTGCACCCGGTCTTTTTGTTCGTACCTAAACGACCATTCAATATCGTTCCGCATCCGACAATAATTCAATGGATATATTCGCGGCATTATATTATCAATATTATTACTGGCAGTTCATCGATGAGCGCGAATTGAAAGCTAGTCATACGCAAACAAATTCGGTTATCAGCGCTGAAAAATGAAACCGTGTTGCGCTGATTTCACGCGCGCGCCAAATTTAATTGCGTCCCCCAATAAAGTGCAATTTACACGGTGCCGGTCTGAAAGGTATTTGGACCGTTTGGATAAACTGAAAATTCGCGTAATTATTTATGTTTTTTGCTCCTTTTATATCCTCTTAGCGAATCATTTACTCAGATTTAATTTACTTGGTTTGTATTGTTTTTTTCTTGTTCCTTATTTTGTGGTGCACGCACAACCGGAGTTCGTTATTAGTTGTTGTTTTTTTTTTCTTTTTTGGAATCGTTGCATAACGCTTTACGTGACCGCAAAATGACCACACATGGAATCGATTGTATGCGGCCACCGCATTACGCAATGTCTTTACTGTTTCTTTCATAATAATCACGGAGCATCTGCATTGCGCGGCTTCTGCAAATAATCATGGGAAATTCCTTCTTGCTAATCTGTACACACATTAACTATTTATTTATTACTAATCGTAATACGCACACAACAGAAATACATTTTTTGTTAGTAAACTTACATTTTTAATTCAAATTAAAATATACCATTACTGCATTTAGAAAGACTAAATATTTTCTATGTCTTTTACACATAAATCTTTGAAAAAAAATATTAAAAGGATAAAAACTAACAAGATTTTTGGACTTATACCAATATATTTTCCTTGTTATTGGCATATTAAATATTGATAGGGTTGTATAAAATAATGTATACACTACTTAATACTAAAATTCATAAGTCCAAAAGCAATTAGATTACATAAATGATTTAAACAGTTTCTAAAGAACGTTGCTTCTGCCTTCTCAAAATATTTCGGACAAAGCTATTAAGACTTATTTGGGCTTTGTTGCCCAAAAAAAATTGAGTCCAGACAACACGTATATTCAGTTGGAGTATTATATTTATTGAGTATTTTCTGTATCTTCAATATTTTCTATTGTATTGGGTTTGCAACTAAGTGATTGCGTCACATTCGGTCTTAGCACATTCTTTTGTTTTGTCAACGTGTTAAAGCATATAAACTATATTGTTTTCTTATTGCTTGGACTTCCAGCTTTAATTTAGTTATTTAGTTTCGTTTTTATCCCAATTTAAAAAAGTAAGAACAAGAACAACGCGTATTTCAGACTTATTTTATTTATTATTTCCCAAAAAGCAAGATCTCATCGCAAGCACCCAAGAACTACCAGTTTGTTGATGAGACTCATATGAAGGCCATTATCGATTCAGATCGTCATAACACAAGACGTGTGATTACAGACATCGCATACATGCATTAAAAAAAAACAGTTTCGCAAAAATTTCTTCCTTCTTATTAAAATACGCAATCACATAGTTGCCAATCAAATATATTAACCGATGGTAATAAATCAAAGAGAAAAAAAAACAACATGAGATACAGGTAATATTTAGTAAATACACATACATTATACAAATCACGTTCCTATTAGTGAGGTAAACATGTTGTTTTAGTAAACAAGCTTCATTAATATCGTTATCATCGTCAGGGGTTTTGGTATAATATGATATCCTAAATGGTAATAATTATATAATTGGATTGTAGAATGGAATATGGAATATTGATTGAGGTCGAGTGCGGAGTTAGCGCCGGCCCCGAAGAGCTTACGTACGTACAGACGGTAGCAGTGAGCGGTACATATGATTGGTGAAGTCGCCGACCTGGATGCCTACCAGGGTCAAACGCGATGATACTACCACCACCAACCAACATCACCTCTAAAGCTAAATAACGGCTCCACTAGACCATCAGACCTCCTCCTCTTCTCATTTTTCTCACTCGCAATACGTTCCTATTTTTACCAAATGAAGGATACAAGAACACAAAACACTGTAATCGTTACCTGCACAACCAAAGGAAATTGATTCATTCAACGATCCGATCCGAACAATCAACAACTTTAATTGTAAAGTTTTCAAATAGATTCATATTCTTCTTGAAAAGTTTTCTAATCGATATTTACAATAATTAGTTTATTTACAGTCTTTCATTATGATTAATTATCTTATAGAAGAGTGATTTGAATAGTTAACATACCATTTTTTTTAAACTAGCATCATCGTTGAATTTGTTAAATTATTATGTTATATCTTGTGAATAATCTTTGCATTCCCCGAGAAACGAATTTCCCATACGGCTGAAGACGTCGAAGAGGAGGAATCGCCTTTTTGTTCGACGAAGTTGTTGTTATTCTTCTCGCAATTCTAATCTTTGCATCTGGCTAAAAATTCTTGACCCATGAAACGTTTAATACCTTTCGCGAAGTTTCCTGAACTGCATTTATTACCGCACGGCCAATAACAAAGGTCGTAAATTATGCCTACATTTCTATAGCTGCAATTTAAATTGTTTCCCTTGGGATTCAAAATATGTATATGTATATAAACGGAAGCTGTTACATTTTCAGTTTGTTAGCAATTTAATCAAGTTTTATGTATTTATTCATTGCTTCATAATTGCGTTAATTAATAGATCGTAAAATTAGCAATATTAATTATCACTTTATTGTGATCCAAATGATAATTAAATAAGTAGAAATAATATACTAATTAATAATATAGGAAACTTAAATCGATTAACAGATAGAAATTGAGAGTAGATACGAATATTTTTTAACAAGTTTTCTATATTTTTTCAAATTAATTTTTAGCATTTCAAAAAGTACTACGTTTTAGGACTATATTAAACTCTCGAGATTGACTCTTAAGATTTCAAAGAGTATAAAACTATTGAGGAGTGATAAAATCAATATCTTTGTAAAACATTCTAGATTTAGGTTGTTGGTAATCTGAAATATTGGTTATTAGTAACATTTATTTATAATATTTTCTTTTTGTTGCAGGGTATTATCAACCGGCTGGTCCGTTGATAAGTGTACCACATGGACATTCGCAGCCTCCGATCGGTGGTAAATCAGTACCATTATCGGAATCGTCCCCGTCCGCGGAGACACCCCCGATCCACCAGCCGCCGCCCCCAAGTTCTGCAGGAGATTCATCCGACAGCGAGGTAAGTCTTTCATCCTGGATCCTTCAAATTCGCAGAATACAGAATGAATGGAAAACAGATTACAGAGAAAAGTGCAATGCGAATTGTTTTCATTAAAAAAGTTTTATTAGTTCGAGCTGGCGCGCGACTGACTGAGGGTAGAAATGGATGGAGAGATTACTACAACTAACTTTCCAAATATTTCTCCATGCAATTACATAAACAACTAATTTATTGCCCTGCTGTTTCAGTTTCATTTTTATTTATTTTATAATTTTTTTGCTGTTTCTCTCTCGCTTGTTTGCTGTTTGTAATTTGAAACTTTTATTCGTTTCTGATGATATCGCAGCATTAATTTGTGGTTATTTCGCTTGGAGACGAGGTTACTTCGATAGGTATCTCGAGGATTTCTTTAGATGTATGAATGAGAAGCGCTTGTAGCGTCTCGTAACTATGAATAAAAGCTTCATTAAGAAAATAATATGCGCGCGAATTGCTACGTTCTGGTTGAGAAAACACATTCCAATTAAAAGTTAACTGACAGATGTAAACGTAACAATTGACCAATAAATCTATATCATCTCTTTGGTTTAATTAAATCTTTCAAACTATTGTTGAACATCAAACTGTTCAATCGCAGTTTCAGGCATGTTTCCTGTTACAAATTAAAATTAACTAGCTCAGAAACACCAAATCTAGTGTATGATATAGAAAGAATTAATTGAATAATATGGCGAATTTATGATTGTTTTTACGTAACATTTGAAGAATTATCTTTGGTTTATTAAAACATTTGGACAGGTTTTACAGAACCTATTTTCCATACAAATTTATCATATATTCTCAGATTACAACAAAAAGTGAATAATTTTGAACAGCTTTTGTTAACAATATATAAATTGAGTCATTCGATACAAATTCATGTGTATTTTGCTCATATTATTAAAATCAGCCATTCAAATATTATCCCTGATACACGTTGTTTAACTTTAATAATCGAATACGATGAAGGAAATTCGATGTTACTTGATACTAATTGAAAGTAACGATCACTTTGAAGCCAACCGGTGAAACCAATGAATATTTTATGAAGTGCCCATTTTTCTTTTTGATTTACGTTTTCCATGTGCATGTATCAATGATCCCCAGAGCAGCAATTAATAATTTAAAAAAAGGGAAACGTTAAAACCTGTGGAACCCCCCCGTATATTTCGCTTTTTTTTAATTGGACTGGATTCCTGAAAATAACTAGTTTCTCTTTCAGCTCAAAATTAGAAACAAACCGCGAACAAATACACTAACTTTTATTAGTTGGCTTCGAATTGGATTATTTCCATGTTCTCTTGGGGCACCGCAAACGTAATTAGCAGCATAAACAAACAGAATTCATCGTTTTCTTTATATTCATTCTATTTTTTTGTATTGCAATTCGATACATTCGTTCGTTTCGCGCTATCTGAAAGCGTCGATTCTTCCTCGCCGTTTCTCTGTTTTTCTCTATCTCTCTCTCTCTGATTCCCATTGCATTTGCACGTGATCCGCACTCTTTCTCTTCGATATTGTATGCTGTTTCCATGGTGAATAAATCGCAATTATTTTAGCCCCATTAGGAACTGTTAAAAGTCGGTCGTGACCGTCGGTTTTTACGTTATCGTATTGTCGTTAAGAGATTCTAGTTTGTGTGTGTTTGCGTTGCTGTGTTGGTGTGGAAGATATTTATGTTGCGGTTGAATCTAATTGCGTTGCCAGTAAATCTTGAGACCACTGGTATCCACCGCCGCTGCTGCTACAAACACACACACTCGCACAGTCTTCTCATGTGTGTGTGTATATATGTATGTGTGTCTGTGTAAAATGTTTCTAGATTCATTACCTTTTGCCTTCGATAACATATAGATTTATCAAGTGTCACGATTACGTTGAATTTGCTGGCGAATTTGCTCGTGTCAAGGACGAAATGTGTGTGTGTATATATGACTTTGGTTCTGTTTACTGGCATTACTTCACATTGACGACTCTATTTTCATTCTATTGCGTTTCACTTTAATCATCCGGAAAGGAATGAAAAGCAAAGAAATATGCATGATTAATGTCACATGGCAATTCCTATTCACACAACAGTTCCGATTGTGCTATTTTCAGAGATGTCGCCCAATAACTGCAAAAACAAAAGTTAAAAGTTCTGTTTATTCTCCAAAGAACTGTTGATTCTTCGTTAGATGCAAGATGATTTGGATCACATTAGTTACCGTTTCTCGGTCAAAAACTCCTTATCATTAGAGCTATTTCCAGGTTGATGATTCAGTTCTTATAAGTCACTGACTGATATGGTCAATCTAAATACTATTTTTACTAGACTAACTAATAATAATAAACATAATGCATATTTGCTCGTACATTAATACAAAGACCTATTTTATGTATGGTCAAATATCATAAACTTAATTTATATCTTGTTCGGAATATCATGTTAAAGAAAGTAGCGTTTTTTGGAATCTGTGAAAACTATGTAATAAACAATGATCTAATAAATATAGAGTTTCTTATAAAGTCTATTATAAAATTTCTTATACTGAAATCCAAATATTGGCATTTTCTAGTCTTAACTTTACACAATTACTTAATTAGTAATACATAATAAACAAAATTGATCTTGTACTACCATACAAAGGGCTATTGACTGCATTCTGTCCGTCCTTATTGACATCTTAACAAAGTAATCTAACTGTTATTTCTATTTTTTTTGTTTGTTTACATTATAAACCTGTCTTGCTTTATTCATATGAAAATGACAAGATTCATCCCATAGGGAGAAAGCTTTATTTTCACCAGAAATCAAAACGAGAATCAGAAAGTGATGAAACGCTCACCAGAGAAATCGTAAATGCTAATGGAAGATTGTATCGGTGCTCAAAAGCGAGATGCAATTTTGAAACGAAATGTATTTTAACAAATTTTGTAAAATAATCTTCCCTTTGATTTAGTAAAATACACGTTTCATTAAAATTGATGATTAATGAAGTTATTTAAATATTGTTTTTTTTTTTGCCTAGGTGATAATAACATCGGTGACGACGGCAAAGGAAGCATCTTCGCATCAGCAGCAGCAACAACAGCAGCATCAGCAGGCTGTACCACCGCCGCCTCCCCCACAGCAGTACAGGCTCAGTCACTATCCTCAATCACCGGCGTACCCGTACGGCTTCTCTCCCCAGTATTATTCTGCGCCTCCCCCGGCTCCAGCCTACGCCCACGACATCTGCTATCCTCCGTACAAGCTGTACGGAAGGTACCATCGGTTTCCTCCTCAATACTATTCGCCGGCATCGCCGGAGATGTACAATCCGGCGCCACAGAGTTCCACAAATCAGCAGGTAAAATCGGCCTTCCGTCGGGTGCAAAATTAAAGTGCGCGATGAAAAACCTACCACCTAAACACAACAACCCACGTACGATCATCATTAAGTGTGGTGCGGCACGTCCAAACTAACACTATTCAGGACATATTTGTATATTTCTTATCGAGTTTCACAAAATATTCGCTATCAAACGTTATGGTTTCACGTTAGAAAGTTTATTTACTTCAGAAACAACTACTATGAATAAATTGCGCCGTTTTCCTATATTGAATACTTATAATTTTGACTACTATTATGATATTGTAAATATATCTTGATGAACGTAGTTCTAATACTTCAAGATATACCTGAATAGACTTATTTTGTAAACTGTTGGTAAAGAACAAACATAGATATGTACAAGGTTAGTCTGATTATCTTACGAAAGGATAAAGAAACGAGTGGCGTCGCTGATGGTAGGTTGTTAGAAGATGGACGTGTCGCACGGTTGTTAGAACAACTTAGGTGGTAGATGATCAGTGAAATGTTCAGTATTTTCATGTTGTTCTTGTTGTTGATGATGATCTTGAACTTCTTGAGCAGGTGGTGTCAGCGACGCCCGCGTCCAACAGCAGCAGTTATCCGGCTCCGGCGCCCGGTGGTCCATCGACGCTGATCGAGACATATCCAACGCATCATGCGCCCATAATCGAGGCTTCTTACCAACCGCCTCCACCATCGCACTTTTACTCTGGATATGCACCATCGGCATGCTACACTCATCCAACCCCAACTAGACCATTAAATTGTAAGCATAGAAAACAACACTGCATTCCACATACTCACACAACATAGCAGTCGAACACTGCAGCCGATATTCAAATCAGAGCAATTGATCTAAATCTCGATACCGAACGCATTTTCAGATACAACATATCAAAGTTGTCCGTGTCCAATGCAGTCCTGTTCAAAAAACGGACTTACTGGGCCTCTTGCTGGAATTAGTAAGAGGTCTAACATCTCAATTGCCAAAGAATCCGTGCCGCTGCCTCCCGTAGCCCTCGCCCTCCCCCAAGAGCCGGCCAGCGCGACGGGACCGCCCAGCCCCGCACGAGGAAGCGCCGGAATGCCGCCCCCGCCGTCACCGGCGGGTGCCACATATCAGCCGCCGCCCCCGAAACAGGAGACACCCGGATCGCCAGACCTTCAACTTTCCACGGAGAAGAGAAGAAAGGCGCGCGTCGGGAAGGCAATGGTTCGTAACACCATTGCCAATAACAACAACACCATGCTCCTAATGTGTCAACAACCCACGTTCCTCGAGAACGTGAAGCGCGAGGTCGAAAGTCCTAAAGAGACGACGATATCGACAACCATCACAGCAACCACCACAGACCTCAAGAAGATCGGAGAAATAGCCGTCGAGAAACCGGATGTAGTGGTGCGAAAAGAGGAACCTGTAAAAGTAGAAATTCCACCTGAACCGTGTCAGAAGACCGTCGCAGAAACCGTTAAAGTAAAAAACATGAAGCGAAAACTCTCTCTGAAAGAATCGCCCAAATCCGAAACTGCCGATTCCCCGCCCAAGCAGACCAAAACCATCCAAGAGCAGAAAGCCAACGGCAGCTACAAGGATCTGATCAAGAAAACTCCGTGCAGCATAGTCAAAATCAACAACGGCAAACGGAAACTCATTACCGACGGAGGTCGCAAACTCTTCCATAGGATGCGCCTGAAAAAAGCCAACAAACGGAAACTTCTGAACGGGAAACGCTTCAGACAACACACGAAAACCTCCACACCTCTCTCTGCCAGTTCGCACAATGCCAAGCAGAACTTGAAGCTGAAGCGTCTCAACAAGCGCGTCCAGGAGGCGAAGAGCAACGTGGATAAGACCATCGACAGTGTGATCAATGAAGTTTGCTCTACATCTTCCGCAACGGACAACAACAATGTTCGCAGCAACGTTGACAGGACGATCGACAGTGTAGTCAGTGAAATAAGTAGGACGGGTAAAGTTGCCGCGGACACAGCTCCAGCCTTAAGGATAGACAAGTGCAAGAAGGAAGCGGAAGCGTCGTTACTACCATCGACTGCGACCAAGAAGAGTGTTAAGACTACTGCGAAAGGACACAGAGCGGAGGCGGTGAAATCCGCCGGTAAAAGAACGACGGCGGCGGCGGCTGCAAAGTCTAAAGAAGTCTTTCCGCAACCTCTGAAGGCGGTGCCCAGAAGGTCGGCCCAGCTGCGCTGGTCAAATGGCTGGAGATGGGAGGGCGAGCCGTTCGAATCCAAAGTTTTCCTCAACGTAAGTCCTCTTTTCCCACTTCTCTACCGCCCAAATTTGAAGCGCAACTGATCTTTGTATCTATTCGTTTTCTTTTGCAGAGCGATGCGGCCGTTGTTAGCCGGAACTGTTATCCGGCCATGCGACACGAGGAGGGAGATATAATCAGGCAAAGGGACTGCGTCCTCCTGAAGGCCGGACCACGCAAGAACGATCTCCCCTACGTCGCAAAAATCGCATCCCTCTGGGAAAACCCCGACGACGGTAAATATACTCTCGCACTCTCACCAAAACCAATCCAAATATTTTTCATATTTTAATTTCGTTCATCAGGAGAGATGATGATGTCTCTGCTGTGGTATTACCGTCCGGAGCACACTGAGCACGGTCGTCAGCCGACCGATCAGAGCGACGAGGTCTTCGCATCAAGACACAAAGACTCCAACAGCGTCGCCTGCATCGAGGATAAATGCTATGTGTTAACATTCAACGAGTATTGCAGGTAATTTCATTGAGAATGGTAAAGTCCGCCGAAGAATGTGCTCCGCGGAACTTGAGACATACAAATAAAAATTAAGATCTGCGCGAAACGTAAATAATCGATCGACGCAGCATTCTCGGAACTTCCCAACTGAATCTCCGCCACTTCATCAATACTAATTGACCACTTTCAGTTATAGACTGACTAGCTGATTGAATTTAAACATTAATTACACAAATTCATAGAATTTATTATTAGGATATTAGTAAAAGCTCCATTTCCAGTTATAGAAAAAAGTCATGTTTGCAGAGCTATGTTTGCTCTATTAAATATAGATTCCTTCGAGAATTCCCATTAAAACATCGCTTCAGTAGTTTCCAGATCTTTCAAGAGATTTGGTAATGTTTCGAAGTTTGGTGGAAACGCTTTACACCACACACACACACATATTATACGCTTTTTCTTTACTTTAGTCGATATAGTCTAATCGGTGTATTTTAAAACATACCTTTCCCAAACCCTCTCTGACGTGTAAACTGATTCAGTCTTTCTAACATTAATTAATTTATCGTAAGCTACCCAACCCATCATAAGGTAATCAACCTTTTATAACTTAAATCTTACCGAAAAACCATTTTCACGCTACTCTAAACCAAGCTTAGACCCCTATAGATCCTTACCAAAAAAAAACCGTAAATTAAGCACAAACAGCCTGATCCATCCCAAGCTAACTTTTTTTTTATATGTATATTAAGCATCGTTGAAGTATTTATAAATTGTTTTAATTAATCAGTCTTTAACATTTTGTAGATACCGCAAGAAATTGAGGCGAGTACAGGAAGGAGTAGAGGATGCTGGTCCTTGCATACCGAAGCCCGAGTTGTATCCACGCGACGACCGCCAACCACCCATCAGCCTTCAGATGTCCCCGGACTTGGTCTTCTTCTGCAGAAGGGTTTACGATTTCCGGCAGAAGCGGATAGTCAAAAATCCCAGTTAATTATATTTTTTCTTGTTTTGTACGCGCTTTTAAATTTTGACGCAAAAGTGAACCCGGAAGTGAAGAAGAAAACTGAACAGAACGACGTGCGTATGAATATAAAAAAAAACTTGAAGATAAGAAGAAAAAAGAGAGAGTAAGAGAAGTAGCAAATCGTTGACCAAAAACCTCAATATTTTATATATATACATTACATACATAATGATGAGAAAAAAAAATCAGTAAGATAACTGATAATAATTAAGTATTTTTTAAACGATTCTAATCTAAACTACATTTACGGAAGTGTACATTTTCATATTTATTTATTATTTGCATTTAAAACGGACGAACCAGTGAAATTTCCTGTTCGAATTTCTCCGAAATCGATACACGCAGAAACGGGACGAAGTTTGTTTAAACTTAGTGCCGTTTAGTCTATGTTTTTTTTTGTAGATTGTAAATTTCAAGTATATTCCAAGTCTCTTCCCCCCGGACAGAGGAATACCAAAAAGAAATTTGTAAAGAAATTATAAACGTGAAAGAAAGAAAACAAAATATTTTTTGTAAGAAATAATTCGAGTATTTTCTGAATCAAAAGCGAGAGAGATCACCAATAACATTATAACATACACACACAAATGTATACATATTGTTGCATAATATTATTACGAAGAAGAATAATAATAAGAAGAAAAAACGAGAGGGAACATTGTATTATTATATATAATATATATATTAATTAGTTTATGATATAAAAATAAAGATAAAAAAATATATGAGAGAAATGAAGAACGGCAAACAAATGTTGATAAAAAAATTGAGAAAAGATAATGTTTGTATAGAATGAATAGAGATTATTTATATAATTATATTTGAAAACACGGTGAAACAAGATCAAACCAAAAAGTGTATAACGTAATTGGAAGAGCAAAAAAATGAGTATAATTAATTTAAAGAAAAGAAAAATACAAAAAAAAGGAAAACAAAAACAAAACATATTTATAAAACTAGTCTAAAGAAACAAACAAACAAATAAGAAAAAATATATATATTAGATACAGCTGGTGTAAAAGATGTGCGCTTTATTAGTGAAAATATGTATTTAGTAGTGTATTTCTCAATGTTTCTGTAACAATCGACGTTACTTTTCTCATAAATTGATTTACGTTTAAAAAAAAAGAATTCTTCGTTAAAAATTATTATTGTTTTCCGTTCGGTTCTTCGTTATTTCAAAAAAAAAAAACATCACACGACACAACCTTACTCAATCACTCACTAACACCCCACCGTCACTGGTCTTGGAATATACAGGGTGTTTCATAATTTTAAATTTTACAACGATTACATTCTAACGCAATTGGAAATTATACAAGTCGCAGATTCTGAACGAAGAAAAAAAACACATTTTGAAATAGGAAGAAAAATATCTTTAAAAGAAAGAAAAAAGTAAATTATTTTGTAAAACAATTTTTAATGTTTCGAAAAAAAAACTATTCCGAATGGACTACTAATTTTAGAATTTGAGACGAAATAGAATTTAAAAAAAAAACAATTGCAGTTTATTTTTATATACCAAAAAGAAAAGAATCTTAAAGACCAAACATTGCTTATATCAAATTATAGTTTATATCGAGATTTTGTGACTTTTTTTGATTATTAGACCAAACTCACTTTTTAATACGCTGGAATGTAACAAAAAAAAACTAGGATTTGTTGGAATTCGAATACGTAGAGACGCTTGAAACACCCTGGAAACAAGACCTTAATTTAGTTTTCTTAGTTTTAGTTTCTAAACTGCGATGCGTAAAATGTACTCTTTGATTATTCAAAGTCTAGATGAATTTGTTATTTGTATAGAGAGATGAAAAGTGAGAGAAGAAGAAGCAAAAAAAAATATTTGTGGAGACGAGCGGAAGAGGAATAATTATTATATTAATATTGTTAGTTATTTTTGCAGTTATTGTACCTATTATATATAAATATATATTATATTATTATTATTATAAAAAAATTATGTATAGAAAATCGCAAGGAAAATATTTTTTCTCTAATATATATATAAACATATATACATATATATTTTTCCAATTCATTAGTTAATTAGTGATGTCTTATTACTACTATTTGTTTTTTCTTGTGTAAAATACCCCCTCCGTATTATTTTGCGTAATACTTAAAAAAAAATGAAAATATATGTTATTATTATATATATATGTGAATAATTCACTTATTATATGTAATATGTGAAGAAAAAAAAAGTATATATATTATATAGATTTAATATATTCTGTTTGCCCCACAAACACTAAATGATTTAATGCGTTTTGAGAGAGAATGAAATAAAATGTCTTGATTCCACCTTTTTTTATGAAGAGCGAGGGATAACTATTCGAAGCTTAAGGGTGGAATGAAAGAGCGCGAGAGAGAGAGAGAAGTAATGGAAAAGAAGAGTAGATGTATATGTGAGAAAATGAATCAACGTACGCCAAAGTTATTAACGATTTTTTTTTGTTCAATTTAGTCTTCTTGATTATTTTTTTAAGATATTATTTTTTTCTTTATATTATTAATATATTAAGATTTAATTCCTGTTATTGTTTATTATTATTATTAATATTATTCTCTCTTTATTATTATTATTATCGGCATCATTTTGTATTAAGAATGATTATTTTATTTTTATTCATTTTTTTTTTGTATCGAAGATCTGTTTTAATTTATACTTGTTGAAAAAAGAAAGAAAAATGTAATTGTGAACGAGATTATTTCACGAAGAAGAAAATAGAAAACCTCCACCCTCAGCCCCCAAAACCATCATCAAAACACAACACAGAACATTTAAAGACACGGACAAACACGTTTCCATTGCTTTCCTCTTTCGTTTTCGTCCATCGCCATTATTTTGACACTCATTTTCTTTTACTGAATGTAAACAAAATGATAACGTTTTGGTTGTGGCTATGCCTACTTAGGTGCCTTCCTTCTCCGAAGAAAAACGACACGGAAATGAAACTGTTTGCCTGTTACCACCATCACCACTTAGTCCCTTTACCCCCTTCGTCATTACTACAACACCAAGACCCCCTTCCCACCTTCACATAATGATGTAAAATCAATTAAAAACTAAATGGAAATATATGTAAAAAAATATAAATAAATAAATAAATAAAAACAAATACAGTACACAATAAATAATAATAATAATCGCTTTGTCTCTTTGTCAATTGTCATAATGTTATGTTCGTGAAAAAGAAAGATAAATAAATAAAATTGAATAAATGTGTGAAAGTATATGATTTCTTTCCTTATATCCTCTCCCTAGCTTTTTTTATAACTTCAATTTGTGTATATAAACTGGAGAGTATTTTTATTTTGACACTAGCATTAAATTTGTTATTATTTACTAATAAATTTAAAAGAAATTCAAACATTCTCAAAACTATTTTTTTATTAATAAAATACATATTAACAATTTCAAAATATTATGATTTTAATGAAAACAAACAAAATCTTTTTTTGCTCTTAATTTTAATATATTTGTTTCAAATTAATCTGGATCAATTGTTAATTGAAACAAAATAAAAACTGTTTAAATGAAGTGAATAACAAGGATACGCTCACGATCAACACGATTGAACTTATTATCTCGCATTCGCATTCTTCAATTCAATAATATTTTGAAGATAACGCGTTTCGGCATTTTTTTTAAATTACAATATCAATGACTTTGCTTTTTAGTTGAAATAATTTATTCAAAGTTAAATAAGCTCACCACTTGAGCATCTTGTTTTTCCTGAAGACAGATTGGGACAAAAGTGTTAAAAAAGCACGAATATTAAGAGAGATTCTTTTATTATATAAAAAAAAAGCATATTAATATGTTGAAATATAAATAAAAATTGTGTAACATTTCACGAGAATATTCTATCTTGAGTAATATATTACTTTTATTAAACTTCCTTAATCTTAATCAAAAAATTTCTTTAAATAGAAAATGAGAGATTTATGAAATATTTTATTTTTTTCATATTTTATAAAAAACGAAACCATTTCACAGTTCCTTCAATTTGAATTTGTCAACCATTCAATAAGTATTCGAAATACAAGTTGTTTAACTAATTCTATAAGCTATCAGAGGTCAGGTGCTAGGTTATTTAAGAATTCTTTGTATTGGTGAAATGAAAATATTATGATTTGAAATTCGATTCTTAGAATCGTCGATTTTCTATAATCCGAGTGGGAAACATAAACATCTCCGATGCGAATTACGACCAATATCGGGTTTAATGGTTTCCGGTTAAAACTGAATTAATTGATGGAATCTATGCAGAATGCTGCAATTTTCAGATTACGTTTATCTGCTGCGTTCGGTAATAAAACGAACAAGTTTTTAATTGCCTGAAAGAAACAGAAATAAAACGAAAAAAGCAAAAATATTATTACACAGATTTTTTTGTGTGTTTTTGAGATAAGAACTGGTAACGTACTTTGCTATCAGATACGTGTGACTTTGCATGTCACAAATTTTGAGATGAAGGAGAATTTGAGATTAGAATGTTGAAGCGAATTTTTGTTCGTATACTGTTGTGTTTACTTGAGATGAGGTAGGGAAGTAATTGTGATTGGGAGTCTTTGTTGGTGGTAATATAGAATGCGGTAATAACGACGTTTTCTGCGCTCTTATCACCATCACCAAATAATTGGTCTGGTTCATAGTTCAGAAATGCGTCTGGTATTATCGGCGACGATGGAAAGGCGCAGGAGTGGCGGCAATCACGGCTCGGTTAAATGGTCAGTCGTCTCTGTGCGAGCCGCAGAGAGCGAGTGTTAAGTGTTTGGTGTGCGTTTGGTCGCTTCTTTCTTTCATTCATTCGCCGTATTTGAGATGGATCGGATTCACTACTCCTCGGATTCTAGTGACGGAGAGCAGAACGCCTTCCGGGTTCTGGACTTCGGTCGCCTCGGTCTGGACACGGCGACCCTTGAGCACAACCTGATCACGTTCTGCGAGGACGAACGGAAATCCACAGGAAACGTAGAAGTGATCTCTCTCCATCACAACCGGCTTCAGCTGTTCCCCGAAAACATCGTCAAGTTCAGCAACCTCCGCTCTCTGGACATCAGCTCGAACGGACTGGCAATCCTTCCCGATGTTTTCGAGCATTGCCAGCTGACCACGCTCATCGCCAAGAACAACAGTCTGACCAGCGAATCTCTGCCGAAGACCTTCACGGTTTGCCCGTCGCTGCGAGAACTCAATCTCAACGGCAACCATTTGAGCCACTTCCCCGAACAGATCTTCGACTTCCCAAATCTCAGGTACCTCTATCTAGGCGGAAATCGCATCACCAAAATCTCTAAGAACATCGGTAAACTTCACAGGTAAATATTAACAGTAAATCGAAGCACACAATAACAAAAATAAACAAATTGCAGCCTGCAGATTCTCTCTATGGGCGGAAATTTGTTGAACGAAGTACCGGCAAGTCTCGGAACTCTGAAATCTCTGCACGCTCTCATCCTCTGCGACAACCTCCTGGAGAGTCTCCCGTCGAACATCGCCAATCTTCATAATCTCAAATCCCTTATGCTGCACAGAAACAAATTGAGGACTTTACCACCGGAAATCGTAGCTCTGAAGAATCTCACCGAAGTAATATTCTTTAAAATAAGCAAATAAATCTTAATCTAACAGTTGAATTCTTCCAGTTGAGTTTGAGGGACAATCCTTTGGTGGTCAGATTCGTCAGCGACATGACGCACAACCCTGCAAGTCTTCTCGAGCTTTCGGCGAGAGCTGTTAAAGTGGCCAGCATCTCCGTGGAGGAAGGCGACATTCCCAAAACCCTCTACTCTTACCTAGGAAGCGCCCATCACTGCGTAAACCCCAGATGCAAAGGTAAGACAAAAAAAAACACACATTTACGAAACGGATGCATCGAAGTCTAGACGCAATTGCATCTCCTATAATCGTTGCAAAATTAAATTGATTAATCATCGCGAAACGAGCGTCATCATGCCCTTGTACTCTTTGATAAAGAGTCCCAATTGATTGACTATCAGGAACGATTTCATCCGAGTTCATTGTGTGCGGATCACAGAGTTCGAACTCGAACATATGGGCAAAAGGGCAAATCTGTCAGATAGTATGGATGTTATTGTTCAAGGAAAGTTTTTACTTTTATTGCTTTCTTTCCACTCCAATAGAAAGGAAACACACATTTTTCAAATTTGTACGTCCCAAAACTCCAAAACCGAAATTCTAAGAAATCAACACCAATCGATTTCGCTAATTTGATAATATTTCTTAAACAACAACCGTACAGTCAAAAGTAAATAAATACAACATCATAATACAGTATTTATTACGACTTACAAACACGGCTAACGTTACTTATACTTATATAAACAAAATAGATTAACTTCTTCAATATATTTACACATTTAGTTCGCTCTTTTGTGCAGTAAATTAGACCAATTGTAATATAAAATTTCCTTTAAATTAATAGTTTTGATTCAATTTGCATGTGTTGATCAAAGTTCACGAACAAATTGGCCAAGAATGATGCAACTGCACTATGATTATACACTTTATTTTATTGCTTAAATTATTGCATATTACGACATAAATTAAACTATTTTTGAACATATTACAGCAATACCTAGTATTCGTTTCAGACAATATCTCGAACTGTTTGAAACCTGACTGATCAAGGACTTTAAAACCGTATACAAATATATTTGTGAACTATGTTTTTTAATTTTTAAACCGTACTATTCGAGGTATTGCTATATATGTATTTCGAATAATGGGTCCTTTTTTTTTTATCTCGCGCATAGATAAAAACTGAAGAAAAGCAAACAGAATTTATGTTTCATCAAATCTTTCCATTTCCTTTAAAAGAAATGTTTGATTGTTAATGGAAACTAACATAACTGTAAATAAGGAAAATAACTTTAGTTTAAAAACCTTCAAATATATAGAAAATTATAATTTAATAGTAAATAATTAATTGATTGATTCAATTATTCCAATAAAAAATATTTTCAACATTGGAAGTTTGTAAAAATGTGAGAAATTAATACATACAAATATCTTTAAATATTTGACGAAAGAAAAACATGACGATTCATTTATTCGCGATTTGTAAATTAATGCAATCTAAATACAATTTGCAATTGATACTTTCCTATCAATCGAATAAAATTCGCTCGTCATTGGACACGAATTTCCATCACATCGCTATTTGGTAGGTTTTTATTTACGAACCTCCTTTTTTTTTCCAAGACGTTTACATTGACAGCAAAAAAATGTTTACTTTTATCCAGTGTGTATTTTATTATATTCTAAAGCTGATTTTTTTTTATTGAAACACGGGATTGGGCTTTTTTTGTGCCAAAATACATTTGTGATTGGTTGTTTACTTCCATCACCTCCCATTTGATATCACTCAGGATTGGTTGTTTTCTATATCCAATTGCAAATCGTCCAATCAAAATAAAGTACCAAGCTATTTAGTTAAATATTATAAGTTTCTGTAATAAAATAAATGCATAACATTGAATACAATTCGATGATTACTGTTTCTTAATAGAACTGTTACAAGGATACGTTTATTTGCCTCTAAAAATTCCATTCCAATTTCGTGGATTGGTCAAATTCAATTTTTATTATTTTTTCGCCTAAAACCGCCTTAATGCAAATTGATTTTTTTCATAATTTTTATGAATTGATCATATAAAATGTTTATATGTAAAATTTATCTAATTCCAGTAAAATTTATTTTGATAATTTAATGTGCAAATATTAATTACTAAATTAGAGGTAAAAATCTGTATAAATTAAGACTAATTTAAACAAATGCAATTGAATTATCTTTATTTAAAATAGAAATTAATGATTGTAATATTTTCATTGAAAATTTAAAATGAAAACTTATGGAACAAGGTCAACCGATCCCATTAAAAACGAATCTAATCGCAAACTGAAAATCTGAAAGTAACAGAAAAATGTAGTTCCGGATCAAGGCCGATCATTACGATCGAATAGAGAGAATCGCAGTTAATTTTATTTCCATGTTCTTGTTTTTCCTCAGGCGTTTTTTTCGATAACCGAGTGGAGCACATCAAATTCGTCGATTTCTGCGGCAAATACCGAATCCCACTTCTCCAATACCTCTGCTCCTCCAAGTGCATCACAGGTGGTGAAGTGGAGGACGTCCAACCGGTGCGCAGCTACATGATGAGGAAGGTTCTTCTGGGATAACAACGGACGAAAAGAAAAACGAGGATCGAATCGGATGAGCTTTAGACTTTAGAAGAAGGAAAAGTTTTTGCGGCTAACGGAGGGCGGATTATATAACAACAACAAAAATAAAGTACGAAATATTGAGTTTAAGAGAAAGAAATTCAATTTATATAATAAAGAAAAATAACATAAGAGAAGAGATGAGAAGTGAGAAAAATAAGCACAATAAATTGTTTCTTCTGTTTCGGTTTTTTTTGTTTCAATTATATTTAAATATTCATATTATATTGCAGTGTCAATTAACGTACAATAAGCAAGAGATATATACAGCACAAAACATTGATCTGAAAACAGAAAAAAAGAGAAGAGAAATTATAATGTTAAGGACAAATATTAATAATTCATTACATATAAACTAACGTTAATTCAAAAATAAAATAATGTCGAATACAAAACACAACTTTTGTTTACACCATCATTATTATAATTAAGTTCCCTCCTTTGTTTTTATTTCATCCCTCGTTATGTAATTGTTTTATTCGTTTTGTTTTTTTCCGCCGCACGTTTTGTTTAACTATTTATTAGTTTCTTTCTGTTGTTTAATATTATTTGTATAAATAATCGCGTTTGTCTCCGCAAAAGAGAGAAAAACTCCGCCTCTAAACGTTACTTTCAATATAATCATCTGTATCATTAAATATATATATATAATTCTTCTTGTTTATATATATTATCATAATAATTCTTGTAATTTCCGTTAAGTTGCGCTAAAAACATTACTTTGCGTTATTATTTACTTATTTTGGTTTACTTTTCTCTCGCATATTGTATTTAATTTTCATATATATATATATATATATAATTATTTATATTATAATAATTCATTTATAATTGGAGCTAACAATTACTATCACTCTTTTTTTCAAATCTTACAAGTAATCTAAGTAATCGAATATGAAATGTGGTGTGGTGAAAACAATAGAGGCCGGAACAACCGAACCGAAATGAAAGAAGAATGCCACTACTTCTGCTCCTCCTTCATTCCTTCACCCTCGGCAATATTTACACAATTAATATACACAGTAATAATCTCCAAAACAAAGCAAAGAAAATGCTTTCGTTAAAGCTGCGTGTATTCGCTATCAATCATGTCTTATTACTATTTCTTCAAGTGATCAGTTATTTTCTTTTTTATTTATGTATTCATTTATTATAAGGTGTTTGTGTGCTATATAATGTTACAATATTTATACTTTTATGTAATTTGTTTCGACCGAGCCCGACTTTCGTCCATCTCCTCGACCGACCGAAATTCGCTTACACACTAAAAACTCCCCGAACGGAACAAACGCGTCCGCCGACATCGAGTTCCCTAAAACAAAGAAAAAGGTAGAAAAATCCCTAATTACGTACGAACCCTACGCGATTCGAGTGCTCTAAGAAAGGCATTTGGTTTACGAAGATAATCGGATAGAAGGAAAACCGGGCTTCGATCTCTTAACTTGCCTCATCCCTTAAATATTATATATAAATAAAACAACAAAAATAACCTTTGTTCGTTTCGCCGTCGCCTCTAGTTCGAAAACAGCAGAAAACCAAAATTAAAAAAAAGAATTTCACAATAAAAAAAAACGATCTTAGCTTTCGTACATATATTTTTTTTTTCTTTACAAATAGACATAATGTTTGTTGCACTCTTTCTCTCTATTCATTATCTATTTTTTTTTCTTTCTTTAACTAGTCATGACGTGGTGGAGAAGCTCAAGCATTCATGGAATGCAAAATCCGAGAATAGTTGATTGAACGGGATCAAAATTTTTAGCTTTTAGATTTTTTTTCTTGTATATATCGTATATCTCTATATATATAATAATAATCTTAATTAGAATTAGAACAATTTCTAGAAGAAAAAGAAAACGACACCACATACCTAATATACACATCGGTAAATTGTAATAAAAGAAAAGAACACAACTAAAGAAACAAATAATAATAATCGTTCACAATTATTTTAAATATTACCATAGTTTACATGAACAGAAATAGTGTATACAGAACAATCGCACACAGTTAGAAAAACATGCCTTTCGGAAGAGTGAGGGGTGTCCAAATTGTTATAAATATATATATATGTATAAATGTTTAAGTATAGTTAATTACTTTACGCTACCAAATGTACACATTATTATTACCAAACATCTACATGTAATAATCAATAATAATTATAATAAATTGCGGAGGATAAAGATCTAAATATTAAGAAAAGGAAAACAATTTGAAAGTACAAAAAAAAAATCAGTAACATTAGATATAACTAATTAATCGTTTAAAGTAGTATTGAGTGAGGATTCTCTTTTTAATTTCTTTGTTGCTTACTTTTTTTCCTTGGTGTTTATTTTAAATATATATTTTGCATGTGCGGTGGAAGGAAAAGTGCAGGATTTATCGTACAAACTAGAGTTGCTTCCATGATGAAGGTTGAAAAGAAAATCGTATCGATGAAATGTGATTCTCTTTGCATTAATTTTACTAAGGTAGGAAATTTAAAAAAGAAATCCTTTTCCTGCTATTTGCATGTAGGATGGAAGGAAACTAAGCTTCAAATGCATTAATGAGTTACAAATTAAAGTCGATTATCCGAAAATGTATATGTAATATATACACGATACAAAAAACCAAAAAAAACACAAACACACACAAAAATAAATACAAAATGAAATTAAAATTATCTGAAGGAACAAAATCGGGGATGCTATGGAGAGAAAAATAAAAACATCATCATCTAATCTTTGATTATTTTTTAAAACTAAAATTATATAATAAGACAAATTCATCAAATAATACATAATAATAAGAAGTTCGTAGGGGAGGTTTGGAGCAATGGTGAGCGGAGGAAGTGATCAGGATGGAGGAAAAACAAACGATGGGCCGGAGGTGTGATTTACTCGGAAGCACGGGGAACAAAAAGAAATCGAAAATAATAAGAATTTCGAAACAAAAACAAGAAAATAAAAACATCTCGAATTAATTTAATTGTTTGTTTTTTTTTTGCGAAAAGCGAAACAAAAATATCTCTAAATATATGTATAAAAAAAAGAGAGAGAAGGGAACAACACCTCGACGTTAAAACATCTGCCGTTTGCTAGGATACATCTACTTTTGTTTCCGGATCCTTCCGAAACGAAGCGTCGTCGCATAAAACAAAAGGAAACAAACGAAACGAGTGAAATCCGGCAACAGAACGTGAGTGTGTGAATGAGTGAAAGAAGTAGTGTTTAAAACGAAGAAGACAATGAGAAAATAAAAAGCCGTAGATGATTTTTTTTCGTTTCTTTTCCAACAACAAAAAAAAAACGCTTTTCTTTTTCAATAAAATCACATAAATACAACGTGTGCTCACTTGATTTCCTATCGTTTTATAATGTATATATATAAATTTTTTTTTTTCTTCGAACTTTTCGTTTTCTCAATTACCAAATAATATATAGTAGATAGCTATAATAAATTCCGTTTACGTTTCATCCGTTTTCGTTAAATCGTATCTGCTAAATTCTAATAATTAAAATAAAAAAACTCCATATTGTAACTCTACCTACAATAGTAATAATTATTAGCACAAATCGAATAGTTTTTAACGCATTATTCGTGTGTATTGCCAACAAAAAAATATAATAAAATAAAATAATATATATATATATAATATAATAATAATAATTCCTTTCACTTGCTTTTTTTCGGAATATACACAACAATGTAGTGTTTTTCTCTCGTTCGTCGATTCAGTGGCGGTCGAAAGAAGAGGAAAAAAAAGAAAAACGGAAAACGGCGTTGCGATGGTTTTGAGGCATTCACGCGCCGCTACTGCATACATTTTTTTGTTGTTCTTTCTTTTTGAGGTGAAAAATAATCCATACAATAACAACGAAATAATAGAACAAAAAAAAAACTGTAATCAAAGAATATACAGGGTGTCAAATAAGCGCAACGCATGGTTATGCGCCAACAGCATTAATTTTTGTTTTTGATTCTCTTTGAAAATCGAGGCGCGAATCGTGTTAAAAAATGAAACAATATATATCGGGATATATTAATAATATTGAAAGGGGGAGAGCGTAGTCAATGCGGGCATTGGAACGATCGGATTGGCTGATATCAGTTGATGGGCGTCCTTGTGGGTGGATCGAGAGGAAACATTTACGAGAGCATACAAATACATGTTAATTTAGAATAATGATGATTTACAAAAAAAAAAAATCGGAAATAGTCCTCCCGTCCTTATTACGCGCGCAATATAAACGTCAAAGAGCAGGAAAGGTGTCTGAGATAATCGAACTAAAAGAAGAAAAAACACACACACACAAGAGATCCACACCCGGGGTGATGATATTACTAATCGTTAAAAAGATATATATAGAGAATGAGAGACTGATAGAGAGATAGGTAATCGAATGATCGTGTAAAGGGGACTGATTTTTTTTCTCTTCAGAAATAAAATATATAGACTGGCATAATATGACATAATTCTGACACTCCTGGTTACACACTACGTTATATATATATTATATTTTTTTTGTCTCGTAATTGTATCATTTATCATATATCTCGTGTTGTTGCTGTCGCTTTTCCTTTTTTCCATTCTTTTTTTGTTGTTGTTTTTTGATGTTGTTGTTGTTGTATGTTGCTGTTGTATATGTTTATTATTATTTTCCGTGTTTCTTTTTTTGGACTACCTAAACTATGCTCGATGCCGCTGCCTGTTGGGCGGGTGCCGCTGGTGCCTCATTTCCGTCGGCGGTCGCCGCCCCCGATGTTCCCGCCCCATCCTGTGGACTATTCGACGCATCCTGTGATCCCCTCGGTATCAATATCGAATTCAAATTTGATTGAATGTTCAACTCTGCAAAACAAAAATAAAACATTAGCTTTACATCGAAACCATCTACATTTACTCAATTTTATATCATTAATTAATATTGATGACAATATACCAAATCACCGGAGCAACACTGAAAACGTCAAGGGTCACCGAAGAGATTTATAGCTACTGTCTTTATGCCACGTATCATATTTTTGGAACATCAAACTATTATCACTATCAAGGTCAGCAGTGAACAATGGAATAATCACAGTTTTGACATAATATTTGATGTATTCTTGGCAACTAACAACAATGATATTATATTGTAATCTGAAATACTCGGTCACTATTGACAATTGAACCTACTTTCAATAATATCACAATATTACAATTGAAATGAAATATCTTTTGAACAATGTATTTGAATAATTGAATTGTTCCATTCAAAATATTAGAATGCAATATGAGCAAATGTACTTAATAAAATTTAGAAATAATATCATTTTCTGAAAATAGACACTTCATTTAACATTTACAACAGCCGATCGTAATCGGAAATTCAAGTTCATACTTTTTTTTCTCTCTCTTCGACTATTTCAACAAAAGTCGATTTGCTCGTAAAAATAAACGGCGATTGGTCTGAAATATGCCGCACCTGTTAGAATCCAAAATCCATGGTTAAATACATCTTTGCGAGATTTATAAATAACGCGGCGAAATAAAAAAAAATAGGCAAGGAAAATGACGGATTGTTGTCTCGATCTGAACGGGAACGTCCATTTCGAAACGTTCATTTTAAAAATAAATGGAAGATTAATTCAGATTACTTCATCATCGCAACATCTAAATCCGTTCCGAATTCAAACATCAAACTAGATACGTTTTTAAACTTAAATACACATTTTATGATACATGGTAATTTCCTTGTGTATTATCATCTGCACAAGTTACTTGGCAAGAATCACTTATGATTATGTTTATTTGAAAATTCTGATTGATTCTTTATGCGGAAACGATTTTTGAAAAATTGATAGCTATTTAATAGGGATAAAAACTAATTGATGATAAACGAATTTGTCGACGGGTGATCAATCACGGTTTCTGCGTTGTTGCCGAAACGGTGGACCATAAAATCTGCCAGATATAAAATATGACCCATATTCGAAATTGATTTATAAATAACGGCCTTACGAGATGCGAATGCTAAAATAATTATGATCTCAGTTCGATAAAGAATTCAGCATGATGAAAATAATTATGAAAAAAAAGATCATTATACATTTTATCCAATATGCAAATGTAGTGAATTGATCTAATTAAAGAATTGAACATTTCATCACTATTGAATATTATGTATTTCTAATGCTGTTGAGGAAATGTAATTTGTGACCTAGTGAGAAGTTAGCTTATGATTACTATAACCTTGATAATAAACTTCCCGTTCAATTAAGATTCGCATACAATATATACTGAAATCAAAGTGCTGCGCAACCCTTGTTTTGAATGATAACCAAAGTTTCGGTGCTGCTATCAATCCCGTTAATTAGTTAGTAGCATAATAAACCATTCAAGATAAGTTTCAGGTGATTCGATATTTGAAGGGCGTGTCGATGCGCAAGAATCCAAACCTGCGTGAAACCATATCCAAAAAAGTTTTTGCATAAGTTGCGTTTCATTGGGTTAAATCCTGCATCCGGGTGAGACGGCGACGTATTCATCTTTTGCTGTATCTTTCTTACCATGTTCAGTGAAGTTGAAAAGCGGCGGCAGCTCATTGCCGTTGGGTAGACGGGTGTTCCTCTCGCGCAGCTCGCTGAAGAAGGAGTGGGCACATGCCTGCAACGGACTGATCCTGGATGACGGCGTGTACTCCAGGAGTCGTGCCACAAGGTCGATGGCCTCCGGCGGGGTGCGGGCCCTAAACACCTGCAGGACACGTTTCTACTTTCAGCAACAAAAAAGAAGAACAAAACCCAATCACAAAAGACACCACTCAATGAAACTTTTCTCTAACAAAAACAATAAAAAAAATCATCGGCAGCAACGGTTCGCCGCGAAATTGACAAAACGGAAAATATTTCCAAAAATTGTAACAGATATAACAAAAAAAAAATAGTAATCATCGGTACAGAACATAAAAATTGGGACTGTATTAAACAAAAACAGATCAAAATTTTCTCCAAAAAATAATAGAGAATAGAGCAGTAACGTAAAACAAAACAAAAATATTAAACGATATACATGTTCGTCAATTTCTCTCGTGTGTACAAAGGACATCGTTTCTCATCATCTCCAACGACATCTGGGAGACAACGAAGACGTAGCGCGCACAGAACACACAAAATGCGCGTTTTTTTTTCCTGGCGATGATCACGCTTTCTTCTTCTTCGCTTCGATTCAGTTTCGCTTTTAAATTCGTATGAAAGTGTAATGCTGCTAATGCTTGGTTAATCTGGGGGACAAGGACAAGATGAACGAATCAAAGAACACTAAATGTCGCTTCTGCTGCTGCAGTTGTTAGTAAATAGATACAGCTCACGGAGTATGTACAAAAATGCGTTGCTTTTATGTGGTTAAAAAAATAACAATGCGTTCTCTCGCTCGTAAGTAAACTTTCGCACACCAAAAACAAAACGGATCGATTTTCCACCATCAAAAAAATATTTTTTTTTGTACGCAACACAAGAAAAAACAACGGCCATCCTCGACGCACTTACGCGTATCTTTTGATGCTCGGTGGTGCATTTTGGGAGCGACATTCGTTCCAGCAATGACTGCAAAACAGAGGTCCATGTCAATATCGTACAAATCGAATCGCACAAACACACACAGATGGCAAAAACCCACAACAAACTCCTGAAGTTAATAAATGTAATCATCAACAATCAAATATAAGAAAAACCAACGAAACAGTTGTTAGTGGTTTAAACACGCGAAACAATCGAAAAAGAAAACTTCCTTTCAACTGAATATATGATCTTCACACAATTAATCGAAAATTTAGAGTCATCAATATATTTTTTTCTTTCAATTCGATTAAAACATTCTTTCAAATAAACCAAAAACGATATTTATTCTAACAATCGAAGTGGTTTATTGCTCTTGTAAGCATGCAGATATTTGCGAAACAAGGCATGAATACTTTGTATGTAGCCACAATTAATAAACCAAAGTCTGATATATCAGCTACATTGAAATTAACCCTTTCATCTTTAACAAAGCAGTAAGCTTAGAAACACTAAGCAATGAACCTTCGATGCGTATTATTATTGCGAGCAGAAATGTTCGATGAGCAAAATGAATAACCTTAATTTGAATTTGCGCAAAAATGGGGAGATGAACTGTGGAGCATCAGCAGCTTAGCATAATTTGCAGTCCGAGCGCAATTATTTCCACGAAGCGAAGAGATACACCTTTGTACACAATTTTTAAATCGCCAAGTCCCCCAATCATCTATTCATTGCAATTTGCGCAAAATTCACGCAGTCGTAATGCCGTGACCTCATCCTCATCCATTCAGCAGACCAACCAAACGTGGGTGGGCCAAAGTTGAAAATTGCTCAATTGATGATGATGATCATCATCATAATCGTTTGCTCGCTACGCTCTTGAATCTTTTAATTGCTTTTGTTTAAAAATAGTCCAAAAAAAAAAATAATATTATAACATTCTATGTAACACGTCGTACATAGAAACATCGAGAGAAAAAACATAAATACAATACGTCTTTTTCAGTGGTGCGATTGAAAACTGAGAGAAAAATTTGGGCACGCAAATTAACACCGCACGGCCTGTTTCACCGATGGTTGATTTACTTTTTTAATACAGCCTGAATAAAATACGTGTATTGCTCTGCTTAACTTTTGGCTGTGGCGCGCTGAAGCAGCTTGGCGTTAAGCGAGGCATTACCGTATGTACCACACGACCCGGGTCCGGTGTAAGCGGTGAACTGGTGCCGTTCGATGTTAAATGCGTGAAAAGTAAAATAGGTAAGAGATAGAGACAGATGAAAATAATAAATTTGAAATGAAACGAAAAAAAAAATAAAAAAAATAATGCAAGAATATGGTCTGACCTGCTGCCAGGGATGTGATTTGATCTGTGGAAATTTGAATTCGGTGTAGTTTGGATTCATTTCGCGGATCTGCTCCCTGGTTGGTGTGCCGAGTACCTTGATGATTTCGACTAGCTGGTCGACACCTGAGTCGCCTGGGAAGATCGGCTGACCGAGGAGGAGCTCGGCTAGAACGCATCCAGCGCTCCAGACGTCGATCTTAGTGGTGTAGTCGATGGCCCCGAATATCAGCTCTGGGGCTCTGTAGTATCTGCTGCAGATGTACGAGACGTTCGGCTCACCTTTGACCAGGTGCTTGGCGCTTCCGAAGTCGCACAGCTTCAACACGCCGGTGTCCGGGTCCAGAAGAAGGTTCTGCGGCTTGATGTCCCTGTGGCATATGCCTAACGAATGGATGTACGCCAACGAACGGAACAACTGGTACATGTACAACTGGAACATCATCATAAATCATCGTAGTCAGAAGAACAAGCAGAAAAAACGGAAATCAACAGCATAATGTCACCGCATATCGTAAGCTACTACCCGTCACGTACCTTTATAAAGCTGATGGGAATTGTCTGTTTTGATTTACTGTAATATCTTGCCACTTTGTACACCGTTTCCGGTATGTATTCCAATACCAAATTCAGGTATACTTCGTCTTTCTAAAAAAAAAGAGAATAAAAGAACATTATAAAACCAATTAAAATCATACACACTAAAAACTAAATTTTACAAGAAAATCATCTCCGAAACACAAATCCTTTCCATCCACTCTTAACAAAAAATATTTGTATACTTTTTTCGTTCTCAATATTAAATCCATACATAAGTACTTTTTAACTAAAAGAATTAAAAAATAGAATCAGATGAAAAGGATCTTATATAATTTCGGTGATTCTCCTAATTGCTTCTTTCGCAAAATTCCAGGCTTCTATCACCCAAAAATATATAAATATAAAAAATATATAGACTTCCACTAATTAGCGAAAGCGATGCCTGCAGTAGTAATTAAGTAGTAATAGTACAAGTAAACCTAAAATAAACGAAAACCAAACCAAACGAGAACCCAAAGGACTACAACCTCTGAGTTACCTACAAGAGATACAAACCAAATAAAACATAAAAGTAAAATGAACGTAAAGAAGAGAAGAGAAAAAAAGAGAAAAGTATTGTCAGAAAGAATAAAAAACAAAAAATAAAGTGCTTGCATGTTAATCCACAAGAGGGGTGGGATGTGGCCCGTGTCACCTATATATAAATATAACCGATTCATAATTTTCTCCCTTTTTTTACATTCTCTGAGGGATCTAGTTTAGTGCAAAAATTCGTTTCGACTTGTCTATTTCTATTATTCACCGATCGCTCCGAATCGAAATTTTAATATTACGAGCGGATTTCTACGTTACCAGCGTTAACAAATAAAAACAGAACATAAAATAAAGTTATAAAACCAAATTTAATTTAATTAAAAAATACAACAAAACCAAACTATATCGCTTATTGTTACTGCATGTAATAGTTGTGTGTTGGGATCGATACATGTGTGTGTGTATTCAGTTATGTAAGAATGAGAAGAATCTAAAATAAAATTATATATAAAAGGAACGAAAGTGATGAATTCGATAGAGCAAGTAAGAAAAAACGGCGGGGTTTTCGGGAGGTTTGGTAACATAATATTTATTTTGTTTTTTTTTGTTGTTGGCAAAAATCGGGACACAACCATACCTGCGAACTTTGACTCATCAAAATGCTCAAATTGCACGGAATCACCGCCCTCTAAACACACAAACACTTTCGGTGTAACAAAACACCGCTCGGAACAGAAAACAATACTCAAAAAGTAAAGTAGTTATATAAAATGAAAAAAAATCATACTACATATTTCTTTTTAATGATATGAAAAGAGAAAAAACTACTAATCAAAAATAAAACGTCATCCTACAAAACCAAATAATACTTTGTTCTAGAATTAAGAAGAAAGAAGAAAAAAAACAAAGAAGTGATTCGGAGGGACGTAACAACAAAAATTCGTAAGGTAGAAAAAAAAAATAGAACTTATTCGACTCACCTTATCACCACTAGAATAAAAGAAATATTTTAGTTTGACTATGTTACAATGTTCGAGCCTCCTCATGATTTGTAACTCGCGATTCTGAAAAGAAAAAACAAAATAACAATTAGTTTCAACTACACATTATCAACTGATAATTATTAATAGGCTAACCACTTCAATTAATAATACTAATAAATCTATTACATACATAGTATATATTAAGTAACTCCTCAAATACTCGTATCAATATAAGTACATTGTCTAGTACGCTTAGTGAGTATAGGACTTAATAGATGGCGTTGCAGTCAAAGTATGTTTCTTGCATTAAATATATTTTGTACATTACATTTACTATGACCAAAATTTTAAAAATTTATACAAACAACTAAATTTATAAGATTGTAAACATGGTAATAAAATAAATGCACTATGATATTATTTGATACAAGAAACATTAACCATCTGCTAATATTAATTCTGAACTGTTTATTCAAATTAATGTTATTTAATAAGAAAGTAATACCAACAGTCGCTACTAATAACATCAAACAATATTGAACTACATCACATGACGTTTGTATACAAAAATGTTTTTTTAATGCTAATTTAAAATAATATGAACTTGAAAGTCGCTAAATTTCACTGTTAATTATTAATATGCACAATGATTTTTGGAATGAAAACGAAAATAATTAAAGATTGTCATAAAATTATATATGTTGCCGATAGATGTCTTTCCAACCTTATGCATTTTAAGGTAACCTTATCAACAGTGAAGTATGTTTTGAAGTATCTTTACAAAATGGACATCTTATAAATAATTCATGATCATCAATGTATGATCTTTGGAAGTAGCGTATTTTTGTGGTTTGTTGTATAGAATGATATAAGAAAAAAAGTATTTACCTTAAATCTCTTATCTTGAAGTACTTTCTTGATCGCGACCATTTCGCCATTGTCGCAGAGCTTCGCCTGGTAGACGACGCCGAAGCTGCCATTTCCTATCACTTTGGTGTCGGTGTAGGAGACTTCCTGAGGCCTGTCCGGTCCCTGGCCCGGTGTCGCCACCACCGTAGTCACTTTGCCCCCGTCTTTACCTGAATAACCACCAGTAAACAGAAATAGACTCGGTTAAACATATGATATAAACCAAAAAGATAGCAAAATAGTATAAAAATAAATTAATTAAATAGGGTAGAAGGATCATTTGGAATCACACGGAAATATTGTGCATAATTTCACTATAATTAATAATTTACTAAAATTGCGAGTTTTATTACAACATCCAACAATCATTAAACTGCAATAAACGCTTTCCTGAAAATCTCTTTGTTCATTCAGTAGATGAGAATTTTTCAGTATATGAGAATACTTTTTTTTTAATTATTGATAATATATGCAATAAATTTATTATGAATGTCCCGGCCGACACCTAATTTGGCCAAAGCTTCGGATAAATATGTTAATTATTATCGGAGAGAAGTAAACTGCGTTCTTTCCTTAATAGAAATACTCTCTAGATTAATTACCTCCAGCGTCGGGCGACTCCTTAAGAGGAGCGGAGGTAGAAGTAAAAAAAAAACAAAGAACTGCGGTATTGCAATTTCAAGGTGAAGGAGAAATGAAGTGTCCCGAGGAAAATCGATGGTCTCTAATGAAATATCCATTAGAAACAGCGCGAACGAGAGAGTAATTTAATATTGAAAACTTTGAAATTAGCAGAAATTAGCATCGATTATGCAACACTTTTACTATCGAATGCTTTAATGAGCACCAAAAATAGAGGAAAGCTGTCGATATTATTTTTTTTTTGTTTCTTTTCCGATACACTTAACCTGTCACTTGCTTTTCCTCGGTGAGCACGATGTCGTTACTGCGCGGTCCCGGAAACGGCGGCGCGCTGTGCTTCTGCATCGTTTCCGGTTTCGGGGCTCGCACTGCTGAGTCTGGATGATTCAGGTTGCACGGAAGAAATCGACGAAAATACGTGACATTTCCAGACGGACGGACACGACGCACAGACAGCTCCTGTGTCTGACACTAATGGCACGTCGAAAATTGAAAGGGACAAAATTTACTGTTATTATCATCATTTGTTGTTGTTACGGGAGGGTTTAAAACAAAAAACGACCATCCCATCCTTGAGTTTGTTTATGTTGTTCTTCCATGAATCGCAGAACGAAACTATGAAGACGAGGTGTAAAACTGTGTATAGTTAAGTCGGTGTTTAATAAAGATCAGGACCGTCCATTAATCCGCAAAGACATGGAATATTTCGTGCAACATTTTAGTTTTGTTTGCATATTTTCATTTCACCGAAATTACAAACCGAAATGTTACAAATCAATTGATAATACATAGATAACTTGCATATGGTACAAAAATCCAACATGATATAAGTTTTTATCAACAAAGTATTTGTGATTATTGATTCTATATAAATTAATGTGATTATTGATTGATGTAAGTCAACTAAAAACTAAGCAAACCTAGACAATAACAGAAATCAGAAATGAAATTAATAATTTTAGATTTCTTTATTATGTATTCAGATGTTTATTTACTATTATCATGAATGATTAAATAAAAGTTGTCATTAATCGGTAATAGAAGAATGGTAATTTATGTAACTGAAAACACTTTGAACTTGATAATTATAGATTTTGTTTATATGATTTGTGTAATATGTGGGGAAAAGTTTACTATAACTTATTACCAAAAAGTTGCGGGCATCTTAAACGAGTCGTATGAAGAACTTACTGAAAGATCTGCGAATCCGCCTCCAGTAACCCAAAAACTTGGAGCCTTTGGACACGTTCTCGGTCGAACCGCCGCCAGCGTCCCTTTTACTTTTGCCACAGCCGTGATCATCGTCGTTGTTATTATTATTATTATTATTGTGATGTCGATGATGGTTGAGCACATCGCCGAAGGATTTTGATCGCGGTTTGTCCGGTTTATAGGCGACATCCAGCGCGGACATCGAACGCGTATGCGGACGATCTGAGGAGGCGGCGCCGGCTACGTCGAGCGTCCCGACGCCGACGATCGCATTGTTCTTCGCGTTGAACTTCGGCGCCATCTGAGCAGATGCTCGTCGAGTGAGCTGCGCTCTCAAAGAAAACGTCTGCCGCCCCGCAACATCATAATCACAACATCACGTGAATTATTAACACTTTCGTGGATGCAAATGAGCAGAGAGGATCGCATTACGCAAGGCGATCCTCCTCCTTTCATACCGTTTTTATTATTATTTTTTTTTTCAAAAAAAAAACAGAAGTAACAGTATTGTGTCTCCCCGTAAGGTCACCACCGCATGCTACGACGACAACTCATTATTTTGTCTCATCCTCGACAACCGGACACAACATATTTCAGTTCTTCAATCGAAATCAGAACTCGAATGGTTTGCACATCTGCTTCAATTTAGAGCTCTCATGTTTACCGATTCTATTACATCCTTTGCATTAGCTATTAAGACTAGCGTTCAGATTACAAAGTCCAGAAATTTGCAAATTAACCATCATAAATAAAACATTCAAATATTCAATTTCACACCAAACTTTGAAATAATTATCTAAAATTATTTACGAAAAAAAATTAACAAAAACGTTAAAACTAAATATTGAAAATTTTCCACCAAAAAATATTAAAATAAATATATTAAACTCTTGTTTCATTTATTCAGTTTAATTAATTTGGTATTCATTTTTCTTAAATAAATAAAATCATAAGTTTCAATACTGCAAATTCAATAATTATAAATTATATATTAAAACTGAATAGAGAATTGCAACTCTATTTATATATATTTTTAATATATAAAACTAAATTGCATTGAAAAACGCAGAAAGTTGAGAGAGCCCAAGAAGAGGCATTGCGCGCATTTCATCCTTTTTAATCTTACAAAGAGCAGTTGGACGCGGGCCTGACCCGAAGTCCTAAATCTTCCGAGATTAAATTGGCCGAATGCGAGGAGAAGCCGTCATCAAAAACCCGTTGCCAAGTGGAAAAAGGAAACGAACGACGAAAGCAAAACAATGCAGTTCCACGAACAATCGAGACACATAAATTATTGCCAAACGCGGAAAGACGGATCCCTTCCTTCTTTTATTTATTTATTTCTCTCTCATCTGATATCGATTTTGTTAAAGACTTATGTGTATACTTAAAATTTGATAGGGCAGTAGAAGATGTATATTTTAAATCAGATATTGATTCAGTTAACGAAGTTGTATGATTTAATCCCACGGATTAGAAATTTAGGAAGTTCTGACCCTTCAAAGGGTTAATTAAAATCTATTACTTATAATTGTAATACGTTTTTAGTTCAGTACAATTGATTTAAAGTATCATATTTTGCCTAATTATAAATTAGATCAAAATCTCTTAATAAGAATAAACTGACAGAAGAAAATAATCCTTATAGGTCGTTTGAAAGTTATTTCAAAGTTATTGGATGATCACGTTAACAATTAGCAATCTCTTCAATTAATATGCAGATTGTTACAAATTACGACGTATTCGAGCGGTTTTTTTTTTAAATGGGAAATCTGGAGCATTATTGCCACTTTCGATCCAATCCATTCTAATCTTCGTGCATGAATCAATTAATGATCGAGAATATTGAATTCCATCCGCCGTTGGAATGAGATTTGTGGTATGCACGGGATGATGGATTCCCGAAATCTAAATTTAACATCATCGTGTCCACGAGGTAACTAATTTTAGTTTGGCGACTACAGTTTCGGAAAAGTTGAGAGAACCTCGCAATCGATTTCTGATTATCGTACGACACACGTCGTTGTGCACTATGTATATTATAATCATCCAACAATGGGTAAATTATTGAAAAAGAATAATCACAAAGAACGTATTTTTGTTGCAAAGTCCATTATTTTCGACGCTGCACAATTATTTCCTAATCAATAATAATGTCCGTTCTCGTCACTGTCTATATACTAAAGCGCTAGGTGCATCCAGCCAGGATATGACAAATACCTGTAATTGGATATATAAAAAAACCGAAGCGCCGCATAGTAAAAAGAGAGAACTTGAAACCTGAAAATATAATGTAAACCATGACATCCATTTGAAGCTTATTTATAAGAAAGAAGAAAACATCAAAAAAAAACTTGAAACCCAAGATAAGTTGAAGCACTAAATATTTTATATTATCGAAATAAGTACGAAGAAGAAAAGACATAATCAAAAATGCATAGAAATAGTACAAAACGTGAAACCCAAACTAAAAGTTGAAAAAAAAAACTTTAAACAAATTATTGTTAAATATTGATCAATCTTCAAACAGATTAAACTAAATCAAATATGGAAAAGACTAAATGCAATAATGTTAACTTATGAAATAATAAAAGTAACATAATATATAAAAACATTTTGATGTTGAAAACTGAAGTTTAGTTGAAAAATAAATTGAGATTTAATGGAAATCGATCGACATATTCTGACACGTGTTATTTGGATACTAAATAAAAATACAATTAATTGAAAAACGCAATGACGATGAGTACAAAATACCACGTAAAGACGAACATAAGTATATAAACGAGACCATAACTAGAGTGCTCTAAAAATAAGCTCGAGGAAATAATAATAAAAAAAACAATTTCAAACTTATTCAACTTTGGCTAATGGAAACTCGAAATAAAGAAAGAAATAGAATAACACGGTTGTATGGCGATAATAAAGAGAAACACATACAATGGGAATGATCAATAAACTACGTGTTTGCTTATTAAAAATTGAATCAAGTTGCGTGTGCTTACGTAACCTGTTTTTCTTATAGTTAAAAAAAAGGCGTAATTTCTCCATTCTGAAAAATCTAGATTTGATGAGATATGGAATGGAATTATAGTCAAATATGTTCAATGATTAACAGGACAGAGACGTATATTCCGACTAAGTGGCAATAATTGCAAAGGCAAATACCGCACACAATACACGAATGTAAGTTTAGAAAGATAACTCCCAAAAAAAACTATAAATTTTGCATTAATCATCGCACTCTATATATAAATGATATAGAGAGAATCATCAAATTTGATTTAAAAACTAGTGAAAAACTTGATTAATCATTTAAATACTATTG